CAGAGTGGAGGAATGCTGGAGGCGGGTCAGCTAACTTAGACACCAGGCACAGAAACAAGATGTTAGAGAACACAGCAACTGGCCCTTCCCTCAGGTCCCACTGGCCCCTGGGAACCCTTTCCCTCCTGACACTGAGAACCTAGGACAAGGTTTGTTCTGGTGTGACCGTTGTATGTATCCTCAGGTCCTGTCTGACACAGAGGCCCATTGGGACATTCCAGGAACACTTCCTGAAGGGATGGTAAGTCTCTGAAATATAATATATGAATGTCACAAGACACAGCAAAGCTAGTCATTTACAACTGTAAAAGAAAGTAGCTTCCTAAAATATTTAAATCCTAGCATTGTAATTTCCTATTACACTTAGTTTGCTGTTTTATAGTTTTATTTTATTTTTACTTATTTATTGTTTTTGTTTTGTTTTTCAAGGCAGGGTTTCTCTGTGTAGCCTTGACTGTCCTGTAATTCGCTCTGTAGACCAAGCTGGCCTTAGACTCAGAGATCTGCCTGCCTCTGCCTCTGCCTCCTGAGTGCTGGGATTGAAGGTGTGTGTGGTGTCACCGCCCCCAGTGGCTGCTTTATAGCATCCTAAATAATCATGCAATTCCATAGGAATGTCTTGCAATGCAATCCTGAAAAACAGAAGGGTGAAAATCACTAACTCTTGTGACTCTTCACAGTTTACAAAGCTGGGATTACAGTGGTTTGGGGGAGACAAACTGACCAGGAGAAATATATTTAGAAACAAAATGTGGATTCTGATTTCACTAAGTCTTGCTGGTTCACCAGTAACCAAGGGAAGAAAAAAAATCAAAATAAGAAGGCAAGAGGCAGGTTTCCCCTATACATTTGCTCAGTGGCTCTTAACTAAGAAGTATCCTGGAGCACAGTCTCCCCTAGAAATGGGACACTTGGACTAGTATACCAGGCAGAGAGCTCTGCTCCAATTCCAGATGCTCACTGGCTGATTCAGTCCCCTCCTGATGAGTGACCCTGTAGGATGTAGGAAGCAGGTTGACTGTGCAATGACAAAGGAGGCTATCAACTTGTCAACGTACATGGAAAATAGTTTCTGTCCCCTTGTAGGGCAGGAAGAACAAACTGGTATTTGTTATCTTTTTTAAAAGTTCAGGGCCAGCTATACTTATCCCAGAGTCATCTCCACCCTGGAAGATGTCAAATGAGGTAACTATCATAGTATCCTGCTGGTGCAGTTTTTCCCTCTGCCAATCTTCACTGCTTGCCAGGATTCTAAACCCTACAGGGAGATACTATCTTGCTTAGGGAGATTGTGACACCGAACCTGTCCCCCAAGTTCCACCCATGGGAGCTAACTGCCTGTGAGGCATAATTTGGCATGCTTCAAGAGGGGCTCCCATTTCCGAGTCAACTTCCTAATATTTCTCACTGGGGCCTGGAATTCTATCACTAAAAGTACAGGTTCACTCCTATGGGGCTCAGGTGATTTTCTGAAGAGCCCAGGGTGTTGTGGGAAGACAATCAGATCAAAGTCAGAGAGAAGAGTTCTGGGGGGCCAGAGAGCTGGGTCGATGGGTGAGTGCTTGCCATGCAAGCCTGGGACTGCGAGTTTGAATCCCCAGAACCTGTATAGATCTGGACAGGCAATACAAGTCTGTAATCCCAGGGTTCCTGTGGTCAAACGGGAACTTGAGATGAGAAAATACCTGGAACCTCATGGGCAGCCAGCCGCAGATGACAAAAGAGACACCCTTTCTCAAACAAGACAGAAGAGGAGGACTGGGGGCTGGAGAGATGGCTCAGGGGTTAAGAGCACTGACTGCTCTTCCAGAGGTCCTGAGTTCAATTCCCAGCAACCACACGGTGGCTCACAACCATCTGTAGTGGGATCTGGTGTCCTCTTCTGACATGCAGGCATACATGCAGACAGAACACTGTATACATAATAAATAGATAAAAATCTTAAACAAAAAATAAGTGGAGGGCTGACACCCAAGCTGGCCTTCTGATATCCACACGTGCACTGTGACATGCACAGCACACATACCTACACTCATACACATGAATATGATTGCACACGATGCATTTGGGGTCTCCTGTGCCGGCTGTGCTTTTGCTAGCTTGGGAAGAGCCCACTCTCCCCTCCCTCCCTCCCTCCCTCCCTGTCTCCCTGTCTCCCTATCTAAACTGGCAGCATCAATACCCGTCTCACAGGGTCACTCTGAGTGAGGACCACAGGGAATCAATGTGGAGGCTGAGGAAACATAAGAGGCACCGTTATCACTAAATGACAGACAGCCCGGCACTATAATCCCAAGTGGGATTAGCTGATGGCCCATCTGGGCCCATGCGAGTATCAGAGGGGAGAGAAACTTCCAGAAGAGGAAGGGGAGGGAGCCTGCAGCATGACTACTAGGATCTTTGACCTAGGAAGGAACGGCGCATATCTGAACACATGAGGACCTGCCCTGAGCTCAGCCTCGATGCCTAGGGTTAAGGCGGGTGGAAACTGGCTCGATTACACAACTGTTAGGATAAATGACCAAACCTACCCGTGTCTGACCAGACCATCTCTCAGGTAATAGAGACAAAAAGGCCGAGTCTTGGCAGGAGAGGCCCCTGCACGTCAGACCAAGTAATTGCTTTCTTTGTCAGAGTTTCCTGGATCATTTCCTCCCCTTTGTTTGGCTGACAGAGCCTGGCCCCACATCTGGGAACCTGTTTGCCAGACATGATTGGGTCTCTAGAGATCTTAGACACAGACCGAGCTACTTTCCATAAACACACAGGCACACGTATTAACTATTGCAAGGGGGAAATGGGTGCCTGTGCTTCATCTGGGAGGAGACGTGAGGGAGAGAGAAGATGGAAAATGGCTCCCTGTGGGGCCACACTAGCTGTCTCTCATCGTGGACCCACAGGGATGCAGACTTGGTTCCAGGCATTTGACGTAAAATAAAATGTCATCTCATCTGCACCGGGGCCCTGGAGGCGGAATCTGGGGACAGAGAAACTGGGACTCAGAAGCCCGGCATTAATGACATAGTAGCATCCTCTGCCTTTTACAGTGTGAGCAAACTGATCAAGCTCTTTGCTTGTCTGGGCTTCAAGCCTTCTAAATCATTTTGATTCGGTGGAGGCGGTGGTGGCCTCTGGCTGTGCCGTAAGACTTCACCGAGGTAACTGTGAAACAGCTGACATACAGCAGGCCCGGTGACACATGGCTCCTGCGTCATTCCTGACAGGCCAGGACACCAAAGAGCAGGGAATGTAGACCACTTAGCCAGCTTCGCCTTGCTGGTCACAGAGTTGGGCATCGCTCTCGTAAGGCAGGGTCTGAGGTCAGGACGTGCGGAGGACAGGAGCCGTGTCACAGCCACTGAGTAGACTCTCCCCCACCACATCCCGGCCTCTGAGTGTCCAGAGGGCAAGAGCTGAGTTAGGCTTTTGTTCCGCCAGCGTCTCTCACGTGGCACTCATGTGCTCAAACAGGCTGGTGAAGCTGTGTGAGGAAAAGCGTACCAGGTCCCTGCGATGTTCCGACCACCTAAGGCTCTCCCGTGCCCTCGGTCCCCTCGCCCCGCAGCCGGAGGTGTTCAAACACCTTCACACTGCCTCACTGGATGCGTGTCCTCGCTGGAGGGTGGACGGCCGCCGGTGACGGAGCATTGCATCAGAAGCAACTGGGTTCCACTCAGGCACAGCCCAGACTGGGGATCCACAAGGAAACTGGGGACTTGAAATCATTAGCAAGATTACACAGGACACAGGGTCGGTCGGATTACACAGGACACAGGGTCGGCACATGCTTACCCTAAGCTGAGGAGATGAAAGGGTGTCTTGATTATCTCAAAAAGAAGAAGTTTCCCTGGGAAGGAAGACCAGGGAAGATCCCGGCTAACGTGGAATGCTGGGGTTCAGAAGGACAGCGTTTAGACCTGCCCCCTCCTCTCCCACCTGTTTCCCTGTTCAGGTATTTATTGTTTGTTTATTGCAATTCTGAAAACCCCAGGGCTCTGTACACGATAGGTAGACACTCTACCCCTGAGCAGTATCCTCAGACCCCTCCCTTTTTGCTTTTTATTTTAAGACAGGGTCTCATCATGTTACCCAGGCTCACCTTGAACTCACTCTGCAGCCCAGCCCAATTAACTTAAGCTATTGCCTCAAATCTAGCCTCTAGCTGGGATTACAGTCCTTGGCCACCAAACCTGGCTCTAGGGCACAGGTTCTAAGGCCATGGGGAATTGACTCCACGGGTCCCCAACCTGACAGATGTCTCCAACTGACCAACCACAGCAAGTGTGTAGGAGGAGTTTTGGCTTCATGGCCTAGTCTTTGCCTCCATTTGGCCATCATCTTCCTCTTGAGAGACAAAGGCCTCAGACAGGCGTTCAGTAGGCTAGAGTTCCCAACACTCTTGCCCAAGTCCCCAAGCAGCTCCCTTAGCTGTCCATTTCTGCCTCACCTGTCTATCTTGGCACATGGCACCTGAGGTGTCATGGCACCTAAGATGGAGTCATGTGCCGCTAGTACCTAAGTTCATGTACCTAAACATTCTGAAAGACCGTCTAGGCTCCCCACTGAGAGCCTGAAGTGTCTCTCTGCCTCTGAAGTACTCAGACTGTGCCCCCCCCCCTGCCCAGAGCTTGCCCACCATCGAATTAGTGGTTTGATCCCCTCCAGGCTGAAGGCTAACTTTGTGTCTCCAGGGAAAGCCTCAGCCAGCTGGAAGAAGTCACACTGCAAATGACCACTGCTGAAGGACCTTCAGAGGGTGGGCAGCTAAGGTTCTCCCTACCCATGCTACGATGCAGCCACAAGCCAGTGGTCTAAGTTCTTTCCCAGTCTCCTGAAGACTCAGGGATTCTGCTGCCTCCCTCACAGATGATGTGTGACGCCCCTGAACTTTGTAACCATGAACTCTGCCGTGTTCAAGCAGCATTAATTAACTAAATAATCAGATGTGCAATGCTGTGTGCCCAGACCTGCTGGGAGAGTTAGGAAGATACAATACGTACCTGATATTGCAGAGTCAACAGGGGGTGGCTGAAGGCATCAAACACTTAGGTGGCCCAGTGACTAAGTCATGTGCTAGTCCAGGATGGCTTCTCAGTCAAGGTGTCCATACGCTGAACCTTGAAGGGCAGTTGAGCAGAAAATGGAGAACACGGTGAGCTGACATTTAGGCTATCCCTCTAAACAGCACACACTTGAAAGTCTGACAATGCCAAGAGAAGATGAATACCCACAAACCCTCTTTGCCCACCGGTGGTGTCGGTGGGAATCCAGAAAACGCTTGAACAGCTCTTTGCACACCCCCTGACTTAGCATTCACACTTGTAATACACTCAAGAAACATACACAGAAGTGTTTCTAGCAAGTGTGTTCAAACGCCAACAGTCCAGCGGGCAAACTGAGGCACAGTACCTGCCACGGAAGATCACACAGCAGCCAAACTGACCCATAAAAGTACAGGTAGGGGTCATCATCCAGGAGATGCCATGCGGCATGACACCCTCCTAAAAATCAGTGAGGTAACTAAAGTGTAACATTCACGCTAGGACTAGAACAGGGTTAGATGAGAGGGCATAAAAAGGGGGGTGAGGGGATGGATGCATTCAGGAATCAGGATGGTGGCTACCGCAGAGACGAGCTGGAGAACGCGGAAGGCGGACCACTCCGCGGTGGAGAAGCCATGGTGAAGGCCCCAGATTTCAGGTTGGGGGTTGGTGCAGGGAGCCATGAGGTGTGGCCGCCATTCCAAGATGGCACTGGGCCCCTGCAGGGCTGGAGTAAACAACTCCATATAGGGTCATAACCAGAATCACCTGCTCGAGCATGCTCAGTGTCTTCAGCTTGCTGGGCCAATCAGGGAGCCTGAGGTGGCTGCCAGGGGTGCTCGACCAATAGGACAGTTGCACGCTGCCTCAGCTCCTGTATAAGCAGCTGCAGTCTTTGTTCTGGGTCCCTCGCTTCCTGCTCTCCCTTCAACCAAGAGGCTCCAATAAAGCGTGATTTGGGAAGAATCCTTGTCTGGCGGTAGTCTTTCCTGCTGGTCAGGGAGTGCTCCACAGGTTGGTTCCTCGGGTGATCATTCCCTTACACGATTTGACTTTTATAAATCCCTCTGCTGTGTCCCCTGTGCGGCCCCTGCTGACCTCAAACTCAGAATTCTCCTGCTTTGGTCTCATTTGGCCATGTGAACACACCACCTCGCCAGGCCTTGACACATGACTTCTGCGTATGTGTCTGTCTGTATGTGTGTATAGTACACGTGTGTGTGCAGGCAGGGGTGCCCGTGCACATGTGCGCCCGTAAGTGTAGAGGAGAGAGGTCAGCAGTGGGTGTCTTCTGTCATTCTCTACCTTATGTTTGGAGACAGGGTCTCTCCCTGAGCTCAGAGCTTGACAATTGACTAGCTGACCAGTGACTTCTAGGTGTCCACCTACCTATCTGTCCACCTCATACCCTTGCAAAAGGGTTATAGACGTGTGTCACCATGCCCGGCTTTTTACATGGGAAATGGGGCGGGGCTCTAAACAAGGCTCCTGATGCTTATGCAGCAGACTCCACTAACAAAGCCACAGATCTGTAGCCCCACATCCTTTCTGTGGCTGACATTGGCCACAGAGGCCAAGATGTGATGTTCCTACTCTATTTGTAACATAAGGTGGGTAGGTGTTTTGGTAGAGCCAAAGTAGCAAAAAGTCCAAGACTGTGATCTGGTCAGTGTGTACCTGAGGCTCATCAGAGGTTGGTTTTGTTTGTTTGTTTAAGAAGCAGAGGGGTGTAACTCTGTCTGTCTAAAGGATACCGAACCAGCCTGCCTGGGGCAGAGATGAGCTGGGAGGGGCCTGGATGTGGGGAGACTCCTTGTTCCTCAGGTTCCCCCAGAACCACTTTCATCACAACCAGAGCATGAGAGCCCAGCCCCTGCCATGCCTTCCCACGCCAGATCACTCTACAGAAACTGATACAGGGTGTGCATGGCGGGGCTGGGCTGACGGCTGCAACTCAGCACGCTTTATTGCAGAAATTGCCCATCCCTAATTGGCACCTCTGAGCTGACATAAGCTTTCACAGCAGTGAAGGTTGTTGTTGAAGTTTTGTTGTTGTTTTCCTGTGTAGCCCTGGCTTTCCTGGCACTTGCCCTGTAGACCATACTGCCCTCCAACTCACAGAGATCTGCCTGCCACCGCCTCCCGAGTGCCAGGATTGAAGGAGTGTGCTACCACAGCCCGGCACACTGCCTGAGACTAGGGCGGATCTTATGGGGTCTTTGATGCATGTGATATTCTAGAACATTCTCCCAGTATATAACCACTAGGTGTTATTCTATCCTCTTGACTGCCAGTATTGATCCTGATGACCTACAGGACCCACTTACTCAAGCCTGCAGAGACAGTGGCTTAGTCTCAGTTTTCGCCCCATTCCCAAGGAGCTCTGGGATCAGATCGGCCTTGCTGAATCCCAGAGCCGCTCGCACCCTGACCCGCTCGCACCCTGACCTACTTGCATGCCTCAGACCACTCCGCCCAGTAATGTAGGAGCATCAGCACACTCCCTCGACCATAGGAGCCAAGTTAACATGTGTCTATACAGTAGCCAACAATGGCCTGGTTAGACTGATCGTGGACCTAAGAGCTTTTACTTTAATCCCAATGGCACAGAGTGTTTGGGAGAGAAGTGTCCCAGAAGTCCCAGATCCCAGGGTGGCATAGACGGAGGCCCATCCTGGGCCCTTGTCACAGAGGTGAAACACCACTCTCTTTATCCAGATACTGTCCTGGAAAGCACATCTATCCGTGGACAGGAGCAAACACAAAGGGCTAGAACTTTCTGGAACACTGTGGATAAAGGAGAAATGTTGACAGAGTACCCAAGAAGGAAGCAGGGAGCTGAACTTTCTGTCAGGACACACACACACACACACACACACGCACGCACGCACGCACGCACGCACGTGCAAGCACACGCACTTTAGGGTAAAGAGCACCACTATGACCTACATAGACCCTGACTGAAGCTTCGGAGACAGAGGACAACTCCGTGCTCCGCGCTGTGCGTGTCCCCTCCCCGAAACTCTCGTCCCATCACACGGTTTCCTTGGGTATAGATGTAAGCATGAGTCATAACCTTGAAAAGCTACGGTAACCACTGGAATGGTGGGGAGGAGGACAGATACTCTGTTTGATGATAACGTGAAACGGTGCATGTGAGGATTCAGGCACTATGCTGGCCTGCCCCGTCACCTGGCAGAATGCACTCAGGCAGTGCTCTGGTCAGCCCAGGGTTCCACGATTGCGTAGTCTGCAGGCAGCTGCAAAGGACCCCACTAAAAGGCAGACCCCGCCCCCACTTTCATTCCACTCTCTCTTCCCCTGCACAGACAGGACTCTTCCTGTCTCCCTCTTCTCTCCTGTCCTCTCTCTGTCTCTGTCCCTTTACCTCTTTTCTGTTTCCTTCCCCCCTCCCTCCCCTTTCTAATAAAACTTCTCACTAAGCTCTGTCTGCCTGGCGTGTTTGTCCCTCCGCCTTGGTCACCCTCACCCGCCATGGAATCCATGCGAGGTCTCCCACACAAGAGTCCCCTCGAGTTTATCCACACTGCAGGGTGAGGATACACTGCTTGGGAGCCATGAAAGGCTTGCAGGCAACCACTGGACTGGTGGGGAGGAGGCTATGCTGCTTGAGGCCGACTTCCTGCCATCGAATTGAAAGGGGCTGAAGGAGATAGCTGGACCTGCTGAAGGAAATGAAGGAGACCATCTGGGGCAAGTGTGACAGGTCTCAGGTCGACACTCAAGAGGTGGGTGGCTGCCGGGCGTTGGTGGCGCATGCCTTTAATCCCAGCACTCAGGAAGCAGAGACAGGAAGATCTCTGTGAGTTCGAGGCCAGTCTGGTCTACAAAGTGAGTTCCAGGACAGCCTCCAAAACAATACAGAAAAACCCTGTCTCAAAAAACAAAAACAAACAAACAAACAAAAAAAAAGAGGTGGGTGGCTGGGTTGAGAATCAGAGAATCTTGATTTCTCTGCGCTTCCATGTCTCAATAGTCCCAGCCAAAGAAACACACCTTTTTTTGTTTTGGTTTGGTTTTTTTGTTTGTTTGTTTTAGAGGCAGGGTTTCTCTGTGGCTTTGGAGGCTGTCCTGGAACTAGCTCTTGTAGACCAGGCTGGTCTCAAACTCACAGAGATCCGCCTGCCTCTGCCTCCCCAAGAAACACACCTTGAGCAGAGCCAGAGAAACACACTTTGGCCCTGCAACCAGAACCAAAGAAATGCACCCTGACCCTGAAACCAGCACCAGTATATGAGGGGTAAGGGTGTGTGGGTGTGTGTGTAAAATCATGAGTCAGATGTGGTAGTGGTGGCCCATGCCTATAATCGAAGTGTTCAGGAGGCAGAGACTGTCCCCAATAAAACGAGAGTTCAAGGCCAACATGAGTTGTGTTAGATAGGTCTGGAAAAAAAAGGAAAAGACAAAGGATTTAGAACACTGCCTATCAAGGAAGCAAGAACACCGCAATAATATTCTTATAGTTTTGCCTCGGTTGTCTCTTGATCATGATTTTGAGGACAGAGATTTGCGCAAACTACCCCTCCAGGCCTCCATCCCTGCATCCCCACCCAGGACAGCCTGCAGGAGGAATACACACAGCTATGGACACTGCCGGCTTGGAATTTGGGTTTCAGCTCCCAGGACGGCTGCCTGCTGTCTTTGCAGGTTATCTCCTCTTCCGTCTACCCCCACCCCACAGCTGCCTTCTTCTCACACCCCTCTGTGCTGCCTCCCTCCCTCAGACTCAGCCGCTCACCTGAATGAGCCCCGTCCCCTCCTGTGTGGTGTTCCCTGCCCCGTCCCCTCCTGTGTGGGTACCCTGGCTCAGCTCAGTTCAGGGCCCCCAGTCACACCCTCAGGGGTTTGTCTGGTCACTCTTGCCTCTCTGCTTCAATCTTGTCACCTCTCCTGTTTGGTCTTTCACACACTCCAACTTCAGGAACCTTCTAAAGCGGCCTCTCCATGCTCCGTAGCTGCCCCTTCCGCCTTCCCTTTTCTTTCAAACCTTTCTCTGATGGGGGACATCCTTCTGTACATATGTTTCTCTTATTGGTTTGTGAGTAAAACACTGTTTGGCCAATAGAGACAGGAAAATAGGCAGGACTAGGAGACAAGGAGAATTCTGGGAAAGGTAGGCAGAGAGAGACTGCAAAGAGACACCATGTATCTGAAAAAGGAGTAACAGGCATTCTCCAGTAAGCCAGAACCACCGTGGAAATACATAGATTAACAGAAATGGGTTAATAATTAAGATGGAGCTAGGGCTGGAGAGATGGCTCAGAGGTTAAGAGCACTGGCTGCTCTTCCAGGGGTCCTGAGTTCAATTCCCAGCAACCATGTAGTGGCTCACAGCCATCTGTAATGAGATCTCGTGTCCTCTGCTGGCCTGCAGACATACATGTATATGTATATGTAGGCAGAACACTGTATACATAATAAATATTTAAAAAAAAAGATGGATCTAGCCAATAAGAAGCCCTAGCTATCAGTCAACAGTTCTATAATTAATATAAGTCTCCATGTGTTTATTTGGGGCTAAAGCAGCAGTGGGACCTGTCGGGACAAGAAACTCCAGCTACATTTCTCCACTTCAAGTTTTTGTCATTCATCCCTCAGTGACTGGCAGTCTTAACTTGAATCCGTCCACCAGTTCCCAGCTTCCTATAGGAACCTGAGCTCTCCAAGGTCTCTCCCCCTCCCCAAACGCAATAGAATCTCTTCAGCCCTGTCTGGCCATCTGTCTGCACAGCTATTCTCCAATAATTCTGAATTCCTGCCTTCCGACGCCT